CTCCAGATGGGTTAAGTGGCCAATTTTTTCGGCAAATTTTTTAGTGTAAACATTTTCGAACCGACCAGGAGGACGCCTTCCATCAACAACGAAACTTACATCTTCTATTAGGCCCGTACGTAATCCTTGACTGCAGCAGCGATAGACAGGGGAGAAACACCAGCAATTTATTCTTCTAATACACACCTCACTCCAGAGGAAACGCCGAAGATGACGCGTAAACGATGAGCCGGGGCACCGCACAAGCTGTGCAACAGAATAACAACGGCAAACGGGGAGGCGAGACGCGTGCAGCGTTGAACTCGAACGGCGCCGTAGATTGACGATTTTTACAAACTAACTCACTCAGGATTTGGATTTAGGAGGGGGTTTATGTAGGGAAGATTACTGAAGGGAAAAGGAGGGCAAGTTAGTTAATGAGTGGGAAGATAGATAATAGAGAAACATTTAGAATTTGGTGGAATTGTTAGTAGTAAGAGGGGTGCAATTATAGGGTTACACTTCCACCATCAACCGAGTGGCGCCTCCCCCAGCAACAGTGGGATTATTGCTGCAGACGATACAGGCTGTCTCAGCTCCACCAACAAACTGAGACAATATTTTACTGCCGGCCGAGGCTGCCTCGGTCATCCACATTAAAACCGAGGCCACAACCTCCACCACTTCTTTTTGATATCACTGTTATCGCGTACATGTACCTTCCGTTGCCTCTAGTTCACAAAAGCAATTGAGTTCATTCAGAATAACAATAGGAAGCTCCACAAAGTCGGAAAGATCTGTTTTCACCATAGCGGTGGGTATAAAAGCTTAAATCTCGAGGACAGTAATGGAGACGATACGAGGGTGAGGAAATGGAAACAGGGGCAGGGTTCGTGGTGATGGCGTAAAATATAACTCCTAACGTAAACAACAATAAAAAGGACCGGAATTTATAACACGAAACAAAACAAATCGCTTATATGGGTAGCTGAAGTGTGCATTTACAAGCATAAAATCTATATAAAACACAGAAAACGAGGGAGCACAGGACGAGGTAGAAGATGGTCGGCCTTCCCGAATATTTCCCAGCGCATGTGCTCGTTATCTTCACGCACAGCTGCAAATATCTCTTTACCTTAAACAAAATGAAACACTGGATAAGGAGAGGCGGAGAGGGCCTGGGATGCGGATTTCGATCGCATAGCTTTTAATCCCTTCTGTTCACAGATCCGCCGCCGCGGTCGAAATTTAGTAAACATCCGACCATTGTGCACCACGGGCAATTACAAAAACTCGGCTCGGCTCGTCTCATACACGAGCCGCAAAAATTTTTTCCTC